GATATTGAAACGGTGGAAGCAGGTAATGGCATACTTCGCGAAACTTTTTCGGATATCGAGCTGGGCTCTTTTCGGTTGGCAACATGAGCACGACGCAGTTCTGGGCAGACCAAACCCACTCGTCTGCAATGCATCACAAAGACTTCGCTGCGGCAACTGCAGCAGCAAGGCAGACTCTAGACCAGGTGCCAAGAGGTCGAGTGCTGCGTTGAGGCTCTACGGGTGGCAGAAGTGGACGCTCCGGCAGCGGCCAAGACCTTGGAGAGCAAGTCCGAGGAATGCCAATACTTCTGCGCATCGGTTGAGAAACCCCATACAATTGGCATCAGGGGTGGACGATGGGCGGAGAGCGTGCATGCTAAGCAATTCCCAAGACCGTTTGACATGTTGAATGGTGAGGCGAAGCTTTGGCAGAGTCGCAATGTCGGGGCTGGCCAAGTCGGCAGACAGAGCCGCTGTTGCAACGAGTCGTGACACGGCTGGGGAATGGTCTTGGAAGGGAGTCAGAAAGGAGGCTCTAGCCAGTGTGTGGTATGTGTAAGCAGCGGAAGAAGCCAGCCAAGCAAAAAGGGAAGCAGAATCGACGTCGAGGGAGGTTCCTTGGCGATCTGAGTATCGGACTGAGACTGGGAGTCTTGTGCGGCGTCTCAAAAGCTTTTTTAAGAAGCAGCGGGCAGAAGCGAGCGTGGGAAACTTGGGCGGCACCCTTGGCGGTGTAACGTCCGCCGTGCGTTGGGGCGACGATCCCACCAAACCACCAAACACACACCGGGGCAGCAACTAAGCAGCATCTCCTGAATCCTCGGAGCTATTGCGTCGCCAACAGGCAGGCCCCTTCGATTGCTTCGTCGCCTTCCACCCTCTTCGCATGTTTGTCTTGGCTTCTTCCCTGCTGCCCCGGACGCGCCTGACAGGGTTCCATGACAGCCCACAACCCGCCCGCCTCTGCGAATCCGCTTCCTTTAGGCCCTTGGCCAAAGGGGGGTGGACCTGGCAGCGAGGAAACATGGCCCGTTCGGACATTTCTTCCCCTAACACACCTTACCTTGGTCGAGTTTGTACTTGCACCTCGCCGTCGCAAGCGTGACCTACTGCCTTATCTCGAGATCACCAGTATCCTCTGCTAGTCTTGTTTGTTTCAACGCCCACAATACGAGATGGTTGTCGTCGAAAGTTCGGTGACACATGCTGGGTCCCGGACGAATCATGCTTGGCATCTTGAGACTCGCTGGTCTTCAGCTTCAAACCCTCCGACCGACGAGGATACCATTCTGGCGCCCTAGCGTGCAGAATGCAGACAGCACTACCTTACTGCGTACACACTTGCAGCCTGCCTCTGTCTCTGGGATGGGAATCTCTCTCGCTGCCTGCGTTTCTCAATCTGAACATCACTCGCTTCAGCCCTCTGAATCCGCCCCAAGTTCGCGGTCCTTCATCCGCAGCACACCATCGCGGAGTGTGCTGCCGATGCAAAGTATGGCAAGAGAAACGAACTACTTCTGCGAAGAAGGCGCAAGCAATTCACGAACAGGCCATGCAAGGTTAATTTGGCTTCCTTGCTGACGCTTTTGGCCAGCCCAATATCGCCCTTGCTGCACATCGTCTCCTCTACTCCGTATGCAGACGTAGCCGCTCTTGCGCCGCATCGCGTCCTCGCATCGCCGATGATCCCCGCCAAAAAAGTCAGAGGTGCTGCTCTTGTCGTCCGACATGTGTGGGTTGTAAGCGTGTTGCGCACGTCTCCATCAAAAAACGGTAGTGTAACCCAGATACACTACGTGGATACGGAGGTTACGATACCACGTACGAGTCCGCCACGAGGCCTGCGAGCACCTCTTCAAGACCAGCCATCCAACCAAGTGCCTCGCGCCAAGCCGTAGTCCGGCCCTCGAAGGGAGGCTCTGTTGCTTCCTGCAGCAGGATTGGCTGCCGGCGCTAGCCTGGGAACCCTGCTACACACCATCTCGTTCTCTCGCAGTGCATGGCGACGGTCCAGGGGAGTCCCGTTTCAGATGCATTTCAAAAGTCTCAGGCCGTGCATTGCCCAGCGAGAACCCGACTCTTGGGCGTCCAGTGATGACTAGAGCCGCGACTACATGTCCCGCCTCTCAAACACCCAGACAGGGAGCAAGATGGGACTGCCTGTCCATACAAAAGCATAACTGATTTCCCCTCTTTCATGCTGCGTTGCCTTTTCTTGGTGCTTTTCCCGCTTGACCGTTTCCACACATTCTCTCTACTTCATACAACCTACTTCTCTTCTTGAACAGCGCACTGGGGGCAGCTTAGATTTTATAACTATACCATTTTTATCTTTCCCTTCTTTCTCTACTACCCTTTTCCTAACGATACCTACGACTCTACTTCAACGAAACGATAACGAATACCGACAAGATGGGTCTCATTCTTCCTTTCCGAATTGTTCAGGGTGTCTTCTCGTTGGTGATTCTGGGTCTCTCGGCCTATGGTATGTGCTGGAACAGTGGTGGCGGTTGTGGCTGGAACTAAAAGAGCTGACTGTGTGCGTGCAGTCGCCAACTGGTACAACATGGACACGATGACATCGTCGCCCTCTCAGATCAACTTCCTGGTCTTCGTCCCTCTCTGGTCTTTCATTTCGATCGCCTACCTCGAGGTTGTCCCCAAGTTCGCTCCTAGAGGTAAAGTTCACTTATACAGAAAAAGGGTGTCACATTCAAACTAACATGTGCGGCAGCTTCTCACCCCTGGGGCGCCGTTGCGTTCGAGCTCCTGAACGTTCTGTTCTACTTCGCCGGCTTCATCGCCCTCGCCGTCTTCCTTAGCAAGCTTCTCTTCTGCCGTGGAGCCGTCTGCGCCGCTGCCCGTGCCGACACCGTCCTCGCTTCCCTCCAGTTCGCCCTGTGGTCCGTCACCGCGCTGCTGCTGGTCAAGGACGTCTTCAAGTCGGGGTTCCGCAAGCCCACCGCCGCTGGCCCCCCTCCTCAAATGAAGGAGTCTGCGTAAAGTACTACTCAGACTCCTTCAAGTTTAATCACGTCGCCCTGGCAGAGGCCAGGCGTGAGGCGTCCGTCGAGCTGATCAGAGCAAAGAGGATGCCATCGTGGGACCGGAAGAGCGATCGCAAGCAAATTTGGGAAACCGATCAGAAGCGCATCTACGGCCCGGGATTTAGTGAAGTGAGCCTTGTCTAGATGACGGGCTTCACTCGGATTGGGGTTCAGGAGAACAAACTTTATGTGTCACAGCACGACACTGTATTGGGAAAATTACGTGCGGACCGGATATATTTGGTTTTTTTTTTTTGGGTTGGCTATCGATTCGACAAGGACGTAGATGCTATTATTACTATTCTGGCTCCGGCCTGTATTCATTCCTTCCCATTTTCCGAGCCTGGATATGTGTTGGCCGTGGCCAGTGCTAGCCAAGGCCATCAGATGACTAATTTGTCGTCTGTTGCCACATCTACTGTGTAAAAGTTGCGAACTTCTTTTAACATGTCTTCTAACTGTCGTCAAATAAATGATGCTGTAAGGACCAACTTCAACAACCGGACAGGGTACCCAGCGGCTATTGCAATGACCCAAGCCTAATTGGCCGGTCTGTTGCTGCAGACCCATCTGCAGTGCAACGGTGGGCTTGTGGGGGCGCTTGGAAGAATCCCGACCACCGGTGGCTGAGTGGACGAACACCAATGCACGTTATTGACGTTGTCTACATTCTCATGCCTCGCAAGCATCATCGCCGGGCAGCGCGTAGATCGTTCAGGAGAACGTTCTCTTGTGAGTTACCCTGATAGCCTACTTCAGGGGATCGGTGTCAGCTGTTCTTTTCCCCCCAGACCTGTCATACCTTGTCTCCGTGCATAATCGCCCGACTCGAAGACGTGTCTTGAATCAGCCCTACTGCAGAGACCTCATCCTAAGACTTAAACACGAAGGCAATGCGAAGCCAAACCCCGGTGACCCAACAAATACTCTGCATTATTTCCGCCGGAACAGAACATCAATTCCCACTGGAGGAACTCGGGGCAGGCTAGGAAGCTATTGTGGGGAGGCGTTCTTCCACGACAACACCCACCGAGCCACCGACCGACAACCGCATCGCGGCATCGTGGGTCCACTGCGGTAGCCGGTGACCGGACACGATCGTTGTCAAGTCGCCGGTTCGCTCAGCCTCCAGAAGCCCTCAGGCGGAACGAGCCGCAAAAAGACACGACGCGCTCATATGCAAACATCGGACCGCATCATGCTCTCGTACTCCCACGTAAGAAAGCCACAATGACCAGATCTGACCTCGCTCTTCCGAATACAATCTGCATGAACAGCTCGGTCAGCCACGCTCACCAACCACGAGGACCTCCGCGGCCGGTGAGCAAACCCAAACTTTCTCCAGCGTGTGGGCGAAAGCCCCTCAGTGGGAGCGCGACCCCTGCCTTCTGCCCCGCAAAGTGACATTTGAGCGTCGATTGCGTGCTCTGGCCAAACCCCACAGGCCTTTGCCTAAATCGGCGCCAGTTCAACATCACGCTCGCCTTTGCGCGGGATACTTTTTCGTTGCGCCCAGCACACCCCAATTGCGACAGCAGCGAATGACCAATTGATTTTTCCCAAGCAATGGTTGAGCTCTGATGGGGCACCCAAGCTACCGGCTGCTACCTCGTCTGGGAAAAGAGCAGCAATTGGAGGGTCCGACAAGGGGTGTGAAGGACCCCATGTCATTCCCTCTTGCGCAAAGAGATAGAAGATTCATCAGTAGAGGTCAATATTGTATGTAAACAGACCGACCTATGGTGTGATCTCCCCTCAATGGCATCATCGTAGCCCAGCCCTCCCAGTCTATTCGGGTAATCGGTCCCCCGTCTCTCGTTCCTCTGGTCATGTCTCCGTTGCCGGCCCTGTCGTGTCTCTGAAAAGCTGCCGCCATTGCTTTTTTAACGAGACACACTGGTGCCAGAAAGTTTCTCTTCCCCTCCTCCTACGTACTCATCCTTCCACACCCTTCACAGAACAGAAGCAACCATGGCCGACGAATTGAGCAAGAACTTTGAGACTCTCCAGCTCCATGCGGGGTACGTCGATGTCTTCCCTGCAGACTGAGCTACCTGATGTTTAAGCTCTGGAGCTATCGATACTGACGGACGAACTACACACAGCCAGGAGCCGGATCCCGCGACCAACTCGCGCGCGGTCCCAATCTACGCGACAACTGTTCGTAACCCCCCCGACGAGAAGGTCCGTGAAGCTTCGCATAGCTAACGTCAATTGCAATGTAGAGCTTTACTTTCAATGACTCCGCCCACGGCGCGAGGCTCTTCGGCCTCAAGGAGTTTGGCAACATCTATAGCCGTATCATGAACGTACGTCGCGCCTTGTTCCTGTTCTAGTCCCAGTGACGACCGCTCTGACATTCCCCTTCCCCAGCCCACCGTCGATGTCTTCGAGAAGCGCATCGCGGCCCTCGAGGGTGGTGTTGCCGCCCTGGCCACTTCTTCAGGACAGGCCGCGCAGTTCATCGCAATCAACGCTCTCGCCCACGCCGGCGACAACATCGTCTCTACCTCCCTCCTCTACGGCGGCACCTACAACCAGTTCAAGGTCTTCCTCCCGCGCCTCGGCATCCACACAAAGTTCGTCGACGGTGACCGTGTCGAGGACATTGCCGCCGCGATCGACGAGAAGACCAAGGCCGTCTACGTCGAGAGCATCGGAAACCCCAAGTACAACGTTCCCGACCTGGAGGCGATCGCCAAGGTTGCGCACGAGAAGGGCGTTCCCGTGATTGTAAGTTATAACCCTCTTTGCGAAAGAGTCCAGAGAACTAAAATGGCGATGCAAAGGTCGACAACACCTTTGGCGCGGGAGGCTACTTCATCCGGCCCATCGAGCACGGCGCCGACATCGTCGTCCACTCCGCCACCAAGTGGATCGGCGGCCACGGCACCACCATCGGCGGCGTCATCGTCGACAGCGGCAAGTTCAAGTGGGACAACGGCCGCTTCCCGCAGATGACGGAGCCCTCGGACGGCTACCACGGCCTCAAGTTCTGGGAGACCTTTGGCCCCATTACCTTCATCATCCGCGCCCGCGTCGAGATCCTGCGCGACCTCGGCGCCTCACTGAACCCCTTCGCCGCCCAGCAGCTCATCATCGGCATCGAGACGCTGTCCCTCCGCGCCGAGCGCCACGCGCAGAACGCCCTCGCCCTCGCCAAGTGGCTCGAGGCCAGCCAGTACGTCAGCTGGGTCTCGTACCCGGGTCTCGAGAGCCACCCGTACCACGAGACAGCCAAGAAGTACCTCAAGCGCGGTTTCGGCGGTGTTCTCAGCTTCGGCGTCAAGGGCGGCGGCAGCGCCGGTAGCCAGGTTGTCGACGGGTTCAAGCTGATTTCGAACCTGGCCAACGTCGGCGACTCCAAGACATTGGCTATCCAGTGAGTTGCTATCCCGCGATACTTACCATGGAAGGTAATGACTGACACCCCGCAGCCCCTGGACGACCACCCACGAGCAGCTCTCCGACGAGGAGAAGGTCACCTCCGGTGTCAGCGAGGTAAGTCGTTAAATGCTGCAAACGCCAACGATGTCAGTGCTAACAATCCGCTCCGCAGGACCTCATCCGCATCTCGGTCGGCACAGAGCACATTGACGACATCATTGCCGACTTTGAGCAGTCCTTCAAGAACGCAGCGGCGGCCACCAAGGACGGCAAGGTTGCGGACGCCGCGGAGACGAAGAAGGACGACGCACCCTTGGCGCCGTAGGTGTGATGCCCTAACACCAAAAAGGCGAAGCATAGCGTGCCTCCTGCGAAGGCAAAAGGGGAATATTTTGGATACCCAACGTTGTTGTACTGGATGAATTGTATGAAGAATACCCGTAGAAAAAGCAACGTAATCTCTGTCGTTTGAAACATGGCACCATTCCGCATTCTTTGTAACAAGGATAAACAGGAGAAATTCTCCCTCTTGAAACATGATTGTCGTCGCCATAGACACCTCATCGTCGCGTCGCCATAGACACATGTTCTGAGTGAAGGGGGAACAAGCCAGAGGGGAGACTCCCGGGCGTGGCAACTCACTTCCTGTAGCAACTAAGGCCCCGCAGGCATTTGACAATCTACCCGCCGCGACGCCACAAAATTCCCGCCATATCCAAGCAGGAAATCCTCAAGCTAGAGCTTGCGGTAAATAGACAGCGATCGACGGGCGTTAGCTCACCCTCCACCGTTCTCCAAAAGACACAAGCACACAAGCTTGCAAGAATGTGAAAGTCCAGCCCGCGATAGACGACGATGAAAAAAGCCACGGGATCGTCGTGATTGGCCACCGTTCATTCCCCAGGAAGCAAGGGTACCCACCACCACCACACACCCCCTACTCGCTGGGGTCCCATCCAACATACATCCTCAAGCTTCAATCCTCGTCCGCCTTTCCACCTGCACCTCCGACTTCAACCTCAGAAACCCCTCCCCCCTCCTCCTCCGGCCTTGCGAACCGCTGCCCCTCCTCTAACCTCCTCGCGACTTTTTAAGTTCTACTCTTCTTCCGTCACTCTATACCAACGCCCTACGAAAAAGCAGCAAACAACCCGAAGAACCTCCCACCGCATCACCGCCAAAACCCCGCCAAAATGCGCCTCCAATCCCTCCTCTACCTCCCGACAGCGCTCGCCGCCTCCCTGACCCTCCAGATCCCGTCCTCCCCGGCCCTCCCGAACCCGTACACCCTCCCGCCCTCGACCCGCGCGAGCCTCTCCGCCCTCGGCGCCTCCTTCACCGCGCCGCTCTCGGTACAAAACACCTTCGTCTTCAACAACGTCACGGCGCCCGGGTCCTACCTCGTCGATGTCCACTGCGCGACGCACGCCTTCGCGCCCCTGCGCCTCGACGTCGCCGAGGACGGCACCCTCGCCGCGTGGGAGACGTACCGCGGCAACGACTGGGACAACAAGGGCGAGGTGTACGCCTCCAGGGAGTTCGAGAACGGCGCCAAGGGCTTCGAGGTGCGGGTCCTCGGCGGCAAGAACTACTTTGTCGAGAGGAGCAAATGTACGTTTTCTCTCAAATTTCCCCCGAAGAAAGCAAAGAAAAAAGGCTAACCGTGCGAAAACAACCGCAGTCTCCGTCTTCACTATCCTCAAGAACCCTATGATCCTCCTGGGTCTCGTCAGCATGGGAATCTTCATCGGCATGCCCTACCTAATGGACAACAGTACGTTCACGCCCAATTGATGCCATATCTTCACGGACAGAAATCACTAATGGAGGCAAACCTGCAGTGGACCCCGAGATGCGCGCCGAGTTCGAAGAACGCCAGAAGAGTAACCCCATGAACTCCCTCCTTGGCGGCGGAGGCGGTCAGCCGGGTGCGAACCCTATGGGCAACTTCGACATGGCCGCCTTCCTTGCGGGATCTGGCGGTGAGAAGAAGAGCGAGGGTCCTGCGCCTGCTCCGTCGAGCGGCGGCGGCGGCGGCGGTAGTGGCAAGAAGGACAAGGGCGGGCGGAGGTAGTGGTCTACTATACGGAGAGGGGAGGGGAGGTTATTAGGGGAAGACTGCAAGGCGTCCGAACATGCTGGCAACAGTAACAAAGAGATGGGTTAAGAGTATTTCCTTCATATATTGATACCTATGGATCTTGAACTGAGATTGGTCCTCTGATCTGGGGACCGCCCTGGCGGCCACGCTGGCAATTCGATCGACTGGTCAATGGGCTCTGGATCTAGGTCCATGACATATTATGTCGCTGACTTTGAAAAACCGTGCAGATTCCGCCTATGGGTAAGATTATTTGACCCAGGACGGAAAAACATGCAACATATTATGAACATATGAACATAGAACTATGCCAGCCATCTCATATCAGAGTCATCAAGGAAACCAAGCTATTACCATGCAAGATTTCTGTATCCCAAAGGCCCACCAATTCATCCACAGAGACACCACTCTGGTCTCTTAAAAGTCACCACCAAAATCGTCTCCGCCAAAGTCATCACCGCCGCCGAAATCATCATTGTTATTACCGTCATCTACACCATCGTCAGCAACTGGTTCTCAGAAGCGTGAAGGGGCTGGAACTTACTGTATCCCTCAGCGTACGCCTCGTGCTGCTCGTCATTGATGTGGTCCGCAAGCAGCGCGCCACCGAGCAGACCGGCGCCGGCACCAAGCGCCAGACCACCAGCCATGCCCATACCGCCGCCGCCGGGCCTCTTGCCGCCGGCCATTGCCTGTCCGCGGCCGTAACCCCCGTAGCCCTGCTGCTGCATCGGGTACCCGCCGCCGCCGTAGCCTCCGTATTGCGGCTGTTGCGGGGGGTAGTAGCCGCCCTGCTGAGGGGGATAGTATCCTCCCTGCTGGGGCGGGTACCCTTGTTGGGGGTATCCCCCATACTGCGGCTGCTGGGGCGGGTAGCCTCCGGCGCCGCCGTACTGTCCCTGGCTGCTGCTCCCGGTCTTGGTCTTGCCCAGCAGCTTGCCGAGGAAGCCGCCGCTCTTGCCGCGCTCCTGCACGCGCGGGGGCAGCTGCTCGGGGAAGGGGGACTGCGACTGCTGGTGCTGCTGTTGCTGCAGGCCGTAGCCGGGGGGCATGGGGGAGTGGGAGCCGCGGTTGCGCTGGTCCTCCTCGGCCTGGAGCTGGCGGGCGAGGCGCTCGTCTTCGGACATGGCGTTGGAGGGGCCGCCGGCGCCGCCGGCGCCTGGTGGTTGCGGGGTCGAGCTGTGGTTCTCGTAGGGGTTCGGCTTCGCGTCGACGGGGTGTGGCGCGGGGCCGTCGCCCGGTCTCGGGGCGTAGCCCGGGGGAGGGCCGTCTGGGTGCTCACCGTCCGGGGGAGGAGGAGGGGGCAGGGCTGGTTCGGTGGGCTTTTCCCATTGGGACTGCTTTGTGTGGAGGTTTACGTAGAACCTGGTGGGTGGCAGGCGCGGGGTTAGTTTGGTGTGATTTGCTTCATTCGAGGGGATTGGGGACGAACCATTCTTTGTACTGGTCGTTCCAGCGGGCGGTCCAGCCGGGAGGGACTTCTGGGGCCTTGGGAGGCGGGGGGCCGGGCGGGGGAGCGAAGTTGTCGGACATGTGTACTGAAGGCTTTTGGTTTGCGACTGCGATGTGTCGTCTGTGATTGTATGTGTGTGTATGAGGTCGAGGATGGAAGTCTGATGTCGCGGGCGGGAAGAAAAGTTGGAGGCGAGCTTTAAGCTTTCGGGGGAGGAACCAAAGGCTTAAAGAAGGGTTCTTTTTTGGTTTTGGATGGGAAAGAGGGAAAAAGAGGACGGGGTGTCAAGTGTCAGGTGTGTAATGGAGGCGCAATAGGTTGGGTATTTGAGCTGGCGCGGGAGACCGGGATTACGTCTTCAGTTTTAAACGCAGTTAAGGTCCAGGTAGATCGGTACCCTCGTGGCTTGTACGGGATAGTGCCTACGTATGGACACGAACCAATGGCGCCCCTCCGCGGCAGCCGGTCTAAGGTTCTTTTATGATATGGACCTTCCATACAGGTAGGTAGGGAGGGAGGGAGCCCTGGAAGGAGGCGATGAGGCTGTGGCTCACAGCACACCTCCTTAGCTTTCGCCTGCTATTCTGACTGATTTGATTTGATTTGGCCCGACTGGATTCGGTGGAAACCAAACAAAACAGCACCTAGCAACTTTTGGAACGGAAAGTCGGGAGACACGGTGATGGATGGAGCTGTAGGGGTCCTGTTCTCGGCAGCGAAAGAAACCAGCGTCCCCGTCACCATATGCCTTCCATCGCTCGCGCTCTGTACGTGATTGGGGCCGCTCTCTATCCCCGCTCATTTTCCCTCTGGGCTTTTGCTTGAGCTGCGACCGAGTCTTGGCTGCCTCACTCCGCTGCGACGGACGTGATGCGAGATGCTGCGAAATAGCATAGCCCCTCTTTCGCTGCTGGGAACCTTACCTACCCGCCCCGCCGCCACGACACTGCACCAGCCTGGAGCTCTCTACTGCCCCTCCCTCTCCCAGTGACCCGACTGCTTTAGCTGGCCCCTTCGCTTGCAGGTAAACTCGCCTGGGCATCTGCTGCTGCTGCTGCTGCTGCTGCTGCTGCTTCCCACTGCGACCCGGGACGCCGGAGAGCCGGCACGAAACCGCAAGTCTCGCCCATGTATCTCGCATGCGGTCTCCCGCAGAGGAGATACCGGCAGAATACGTCATCGCAGGAACCCTGCTGCATGCTCCCCCAAAAGCTCGACTGGAAACGTCTCGCACAGGCCATGCCCCCCACCGCGGGGATCCACGAGTTTGAACCCCTCCGACAACCTCCAGCCAATGCCAAGCTCCAGTGTCATCACACTCGCAGTCGCTGGTGCTGCCTGTCTGCCTGCTTGTCTTTGCATATCGCGATAGCTCAGCCTAGAGGGGCGAGAGGCAAAATACAAACTGAACGTACAAGGAATCTTAGCCAACAAGCTGAAAACTGTGGCTGGTGCTCCCACGGTCTCGTCCAGATCCCTCTAGAAGCTCTGACGACAGTGGCCAGTGGCTGTGGCGATGTCCCAAAGTCCACGCGCCAGGCAACATGCCCAGATGACAGACCGCCATCCCATCCACAAGTATTCTTCCCGCGTGGCGGTGCACATCACATTTCCGCGTCGTGGTGCTGCTACGGTTCTTTTTTACCGCCCGATAAACCACCCCTGGGCCCGCTCGGGAAACATTGTAGAGTACCTTATGTACGGCAAGACATACCTACCCGGCATGCTACGATCATGCTCCGCCCGCCATGCCAAGACATCCTCCGCTGTCACACAACTAATCCGCCGGGCGTTTGCTGGTTACCCGTTGCGAGTACGTCGTGGCGCAGTCACATTGTTCTTCGCCTTCCACCACTCACAAGCCCTATTGTCGAGCTTGGCACTTTCCGACAACGACAGATTTTCTTGCATAACGTAGTGAATGAACCTCGGGGTTGATTGAGCATGAGCTAAAGGTCCAAAGCGCCAAACTGAAAAGCCAAGCATCAGTGTCTGCATCCAGACAATCTATACCATCTAACACGCTGCATGGGCAAAACTGCGTTCCGCATCCTGGCAGCTATACAATCTTCTCGATACCGAAAGCAAATAATCAATATATCAAGGCAGGCCCCGTTCGTCCCGCCTATTCCGCTCCCCAAATAGGTAGGCCGCCTCCATGCAGTAGGCGCCCCCTCCGCTGGCCATCCGCCGCTCGCTGCCGTAGCAAATGACTACCGCGTCCAGGATGCCGCTGAGAATACCTTCCATTGCGCCCATAACCGAAAAGCCAATGAAACTGGCAACAAGACCAACCACGTATGCGTACGCCGACCCTCGCACTCCCATGCCGTCCGGCAGCGCGATCCTGACCTGCTTTGCCGTGATAACCCAGCCCGCAAAACCGAGCCCCGTGGCCATAATGAACCGCGTCGCGTACAGCAGCATCTTCGCTAACCGGTACGGAAGTAGAGGAGAGTGGCTGGACCGCCGCGAGCTGAACACTTGCGGTGTCAGGGTCGTGGTCGGCCGCTGCGGCGAGATGAAGTCCATCTGGCTCAACCCTCGAGCAGCCGTGTGCAAGTTCTGCGAATGGATCGCACCGTAGGTAATGGTCATCGGATTCGTGAGCGCTGCGATGGGGGTCGGGATCCACATGGCAGCAACATGTTGGAGGATGTTAGCAAACCTGCGAGGCAGCACAAGAAGAGGCGCCCGGATCAGCAGCGCCAGCAGCGTTGACTCGCAGATACTTCCAAAGATGGTCGTAGAAGCGTGGTTGAACGCCGCCGTCACAATCTCCTTCGACGTCGGGGCAGGCGCAGCGTTGCGGTGGAAATACCATTGAGATACCGTCGCAGCCGTCGTCGCTCTCTGCACTGAGTTGATCACCCCAATGGTCCACATGTACATCAGGACGAACCAAATCCCGAGCCACCAGCTAGAGACGCTGATGATGAACCTGGCCAGTCTCCTCGAGAAGTATCCGCCCAAGAAGATCCTCGAAAACATCCACATCCAAACCCACGTCCAGACCACGATGACGGCAAGGCAAGCGAAACCAAGGAGCATCAAAGCCTGGTTGGCGGCAAGGATCCTAGTCGAGAACTCGAGAATTTCGACAGCTTGCCGGATCGCGTGACGGCCCTTGTAAGCCGTGTAGACCCAGACAAACGCTGATATGGCAGGAACCAGGGCAGCCCATCGCATGGCCCTGTCTTGGAAGCTCGCTCCGTGTGTTGAGCCCTCGTAGCTGGAGATGAAAGGGTACAAAGAGAAAGAGAACATGATGATGGGCACCGCAACGAGGATCAGCATCGCAAGTGGTCGGGCGAATGATCGCAGCGCCGCGAGCCATACGAGTGATACGATGATGGAGATAAGCGTATCGACGGCCAGCATGTGGAAAGATGTTTGTAATGTCGTGTAGATGGTGTCGCCCCAGCCCTTCTTAGGTGTGCCGGTGTGAAGCCAGACAAGCACAAATGTAGATACCAAGCCAGCCACCGCGATCAGGAATATCCATGCGAAAAAGGAGTCGTACTTGAAGATTTCCCCCTCGATGAGAGGCACGGTGGCCGGCAGCGTCTCGTCATCAGAACTGACCCTACGCGCCTCATCGAACTCGTCTTCCTGCGTAGCTTCCCTCCTAAGCTGGACTTTACGATCCCCGGATCGAGGCTGGAACTTCTGAAACGGGGCCGGGCTTGAGTCTGTCACTGCCTCGTTCAGCAAAGAGGCAGATGGGTCGTCGTCCTGGATCTGAGAGTCTAGTCCGATATCCACCATCTTAGGATTGGTGTCCGACGTTCGGTCGGAGTCCTCGCGGGGAATGTCCTCTGCTTCTTCGTCTATGACGTCCCGTCCGCGATTCCTCCCACCGAAACTCCTAGCCCCATTCCAGCTGCTGCGAATACCTCTCCTCAGCCCTCTATCCTGATACCTCGGTCCGGGTGTTTCGCTGCTCTGTTCCAGCGAGCCGCGGCTTGCGTCCGGTTCCGTCTCAGAGCTCTCTGCCATTTTGCTCGCGGCAGCCACGCGCCGTGACATGTGCAGGGCGGCCATATCCGCTGCTTCACGATCCCTCTCGTCCTCGTCGTCTTCCTCCATGTACTCATCGAGCGTGCTGTGGAACAGCGGCGCATCCTGGGCGGCGGACATGCGGGAGGCGAAGCCTAACTGCCCGAAGCGGGAGCCACCCGGTTGGTAAGGGTTTCCAGCGTAGCCTCTGCCAAGAAACGAGCGCCCGCCATTTCGTGGAGGCCGTGATGATGACCAGTCGTTCGGGTGTCGTGGTGGGTTTTCGTTGCCTTCGGGCTGCTGGCCTGCGAAGTTGGAGAGCCGCGACTGTGACTGCGCCAGGAACCTGGACGCATCTGAGGAGGACCTTGTTAGTTCACCGCATGGCAGAGAATGAGCGGTGGACGGAGGACGTACATTCCGAGAACATGGTGCTGCGGTTAGCGAGGACCTCGTCCCCTCAGAGTATTTTCGCGTGCTCTTGGATCGGTCGGAACGCGGGACGATGGGTAAATAAGGCCGGGTATCGAAGGTTGGAGAATGACGATGACGGACAGAGTTAACGGGAGGAATGTTTGAGGTGCCGGGCGGAGAAGCTAATGGTATACGCAAACAGAATACGCCGCAAGGGCAGCGAATTTTCGGGCAGACGACGTCTCGTGCACCGAGATCAGTGACCTCCAAGAAAGATTATGGAAAACAAGGCCGGGGTGCTCGTGAGAAGGGCATCCGCACCATGGTGTCGGGAGAGATGAATCGGAGGTCATGCGGTGCAGGACGAGCCGAAGTACCCAAGCAGGTGAATGAGTGGACCGGTGAGGGAAGGAGTACATGGGGGAACATGGATGGGCAAGGCAAGCAGCCCACCTCAGGCGGGCTAGTTGGATCGTTAGGCAGCGCGGGCGCTGATGCAGCCTGGACAGTGGCACTCAGGTAGCACACGACACCCAACACCGCCCACGGGTACCTTTCTCGCTAACAATCCAGCCACTCAAAACATGGGTTTCCAGCGGAGGGGACGTGGGAGACACCCACCGCCGGCACTTATCGGACTTGTCGATGGCGATAAGGCGGCACGTCTGGCGCATTGCGCAGCGCAGCGCAGACGGCTGTGGACCGCTTTACTGCATAAGGTAGTCCCTAGTTCTGCGTCCGCCTCATTTGCACCATCAAAAGCATCTCCCAGGCTCCTCCTGCTTGACTGCTTACTTACCACAACAAGTACCGTACATGGCATAGCATGACCTTCCCGGCTGGGAATCCCGAAAACCGGTGGTAAGTGGAGGAGGGAGGGAAAGGTATCCTTCAAGGTAAAGTTGCATGCAGGTTGACTTGCATCAGAGATCCAACTAAAAGTCAAACAAAGGCGCAATGCAAAGAAGAGGACTCGCGCAGTCTTTGACCGTTTGAATCAGCCTCAGGTCCATCACGGTCAGCTTTGTGGCACCTGTTGCCGTTTCTTCTCGGGTTCTTGAGCGATGCCGGGCTGCCCCTTTTGTTGATGCTATTGCTGCTGCTGTTGCTATCGCTATTGCTGCTGCTGCATGGCACTGACCTGTCCCGGCGTGAGACACAGCAACCCGCCCAGCCCGCATCCCGAGTCATTCCATTCAGTCATGGCCAGCCTACCATCGTCAACTGACTGCTGAGTCCGCTGCCACTCCTTTGCACCGCACCTAGCGGGTAGACGTCGACGGTCGGCTTGGTTCCTGCCAGCCACCACCCGTTGCCCTTGCCGCCCTCTTGCTTCTCCTTATCGCCCTGCACTTGCGTCACTGATAACACCATGCTCATCCCTGCCGCAATCCATTCCCTCATCGGTCCACCTTTTAATTGGGGCTCTGTCGTCTTCTGGCTAGCCTGTGACAGGGGCCCGTCTTAAACATCATCCAGCGTGATACATACCTCGCCATTTCATTCACCATTGGAACGCCATCCTCCACGAACTTTGCAACCAGAATATCTTTCTTGGGTACTCTGTTTCCTCGAAGCTGCCCCGAAGTAGACCTAAGCCGGCAGCTACACCCTCACGTTTCCTCGTGGAGAGACGGGAGACCAGCATCAACGAGAACAGACGACAGCCGTGGAACATTTTCAAACCCGCTCCCGCTCTCAACCCCTTGTCAGCCTGCCAGCCAGGCCTTTTCTGAACACGTGCTCCGACAAACCACCCGATAGCTACAACGGCCTCTGAAGCTTTCCCGACATCAGACCAACCAACGAAACAACGCCCATCCATCCCCTCCGAACCATCAGCAAAGCCCGGTCTCGCGGGCAACAGAGCTCACCCCCTACATCTCACACGGACGACATCACCATTCTTCCACCCCCTCCTTCTTCGCTCCCGAACCCTTCGACCCTACCCGCACACGCATCATTGCAAAGGGCCATGTCGTCTCCACCATGGGATTATATCGCTAAGCTCGTCTGCATTGGCGACTCGGGCTGCGGCAAGTCCAGCCTCACCATCCGTCTCTGCGAGGGACGCTTCTCCCCGCACCACGACGTGACAATCGGCGTCGAGTTCGGCTCCCGCATCGTCCCCGTGGGCCCCCCGAAAACCCAGCCCGCGCCGCCCCTCGCCCGCCCCTCCTCCCAGAAGACCAACAAAACAGATGATTCGGTTTCGAACGGCCTGCCCGAGCCCCCTCGTCTGGCACCCGAACCCGTCGACCCCGACGCCCCGCAGAAGCACATGAAGCTCAGTCTGTGGGACACGGCCGGCCAGGAGACGTACAAATCCGTTACTCGCTCCTACTTCCGCGGCGCCAGCGGCGCCCTCCTCGTCTTCGACCTGTCCCGGAAGCAGACCTTCCAGCACGTCACCGACTGGCTCAACGACCTGCGCCAGATCGCCGAGCCCGACATCGTCGTGATCTTGGTCGGCAACAAGGCCGATTTGACCCAGGAGGCCGACAACAAGCGCGAAGTCACTCGCGAGGAGGCCGAGGACTGGGCCAAGAAGAATGGCGTGTTTGAGTACGTCGAGACGAGTGCCAAAAGCGGCGAGAATGTCGAAAAGGCTTTTATGAGAGTTGCCGAGAGGATATACAACAACATCCAGGCCGGCAAATACGACCTTAATGACAGACGATCCGGCGTCAAAGGACCCAGCGCCGGCGGCAACAGGCAGGTCAGGCTAGGGGGCGATGCAAGCAAGGGATCCGGCGGCGGCTGTTGTTAGATAGGGCCGCAAGAGAAGAAAACAAAATCGTACACGGGAAGGACAGTGATACCCAAGGTCAGGTCATCAGCAAGTATGAGTTTTTTTGCAAACCCCCCAAGTGACTTCTCTGTTCGTCCATCATTGTACTATTACTATAATTTTAATACACGTTCACGTACGCAAGCAAAGCGGACTATCCTCAATGGAAGCAAGGAAACAGTTCATGTTGCATTATGTACGGAAGTCTCTTTCCGCCGTCTACCTCCTCTTCATCTCTCCCTATCTCAACATGTATATCTTTACGTCGATGCGCTCATCATCGCCCATGTCCTTACATAGAGTTGGGTGGGGAAAATGGAAGTTTGTTTTCACCCTTTCAAGTACAGGGTCCATCCATGGAGCGTTTTGATAGAAGAAACCTCCACCGTAGATTACCTCCAAGAGTGCTTTAGTCAGACATCCTCCAGGTATCGAACCACTTCATGTAGCTGTACTGCTTGTTGGGGCCCGTCATGCCGAAGCAGATGGGGCTGAAGAATATGTAGAGACCAATGACAGCCGCGTACAGCGCTCCGTAGACGCCGTACTGGATGGCCTGCTGCTTGTTGCGGAGGAACCAGTCAGCCAGGAAGCCGAAGGTGAGGATGGCAAAGTAGAGCGCCGGGTAGTAGTGGTGGACGTAGGTGACACGAGCCATGACGATGAAGGGGAGGTAGTGCAGGACCCAACCGACAACGGGGTAGACTCCCGCATAGTGGATCTGGTCGAGCTCCTTCTCGTTCAGGTCGCTGTAGCCACGCTGCCAGCGGACGAGATACCAGAGGACGACGAGGCCGAAGACTCCCAGGCCGGCTGTGCTACCCCAGTAGACGAGGGGGTTGCCGAGCAGGAAGTACTTGACGATGCTATCGTCCCAGCCGCACATGCGCAGACCGACGTGCAGGATGGGCCACTGCCACCACTGGGAAGCGAGGTCGTCCTGTTTATCGGGGTCGGGGACCAGGGCGTTGTTGGAGGTCATCATGGCGACGTTGAGGTGGATGAAGTCGTGGAGGAAGGGAGACTTGTAGGAACCGGCGTCGGCGGGGGGCACTAGGTTTATGTTAGCAAGGGCTGTATCGTAGTCTGCATTGATGAGCACTTACGCTTGTCGTTCCAGTGAGCCTCGACGTTCCAGTGGGTGTAAGTGTCCTTGGGGTTGTTGGTCTTGGTGCAGGTAACCTCGATCTGCTTGAAACCCCACTGAGGCAGGTTCACATTTCCAGCGCGAAGGTAGCAGCCAAGGACCGGGTGTCTGAGACGGAATGCGGTCGTGAGAGTGCGGATGCGGCTGCGGTCGCGAGAGGCAACATCGCGAACGACCTCGACCTGCCAGTGGTCCTTGTCATCTCCAATGGTCAGGTTGCCGTAGGAGGAGACCTCCTTGTCGGCCTTGGTGATGGGGGCGGCGATCTCGTGAGAGTGGAGGTTGCGACCAGTCTGGGCGTGGATCAGGCGGATGGTGCTGCCGTCGCCAATGAAGCGGACGGGAGCCTCCGCGTCGTAGTCCTCGTCGTGGCGGTTGGGGTAGAAGAACCAGTCGTTGTTGGCATCCTTGTGGTGGTAGCAAGTGACCTGCTGCTGGCCGGAACCCTCGGGGTAGGTCTGGACGTGGGAGTGAAGCAGACCACCTCCGTAGCCCATGTTCTTGATTGTGGCGCGAGATCCGTAAGCAATCTCAAGAGGGCTGTTCTTGCCGACCTCGGTGCCCTTGAGGTTAGCCTGAAAGAGGGAGCTCATCTGCGCATCGCCAGGGCCGGTGTGGTCGAGAATGGCGAAGTGCATGGCAAAAGTGAGCATGTAAACCAGGAACGGGAGGATGATGAGGCCGACGACGCGAGTAGCGACATGTGCGCCGAGGGTAGTGACGGGCATGCGAACATCGCCGAACTTGTTCCAGAGGTCCTCAATGGTGTAGAGACCAACGAGGGAAGTGACGAAGAGGCCGACGAGCTTGACACTGCAGACACAGCCAATGCTAAGACCCGTCATGAACAGCCAGAAGAACCATTCGGGCTCGAAGGAGTTGTGGCGCTGGCTGTGGAACTTGGACCAGCAGAGGACTGTGGCGAAAGTTCCGCAAAGCAGCATCGAGTCGAGGAGGATGAAGCGGCTGATGGTGGTGTAGGAGTTCTCGCACAAGACCATAAGGGTGACGAGCCAGACGGCGGGGCGTCTCAGCTTCAATTCGCGAGCAGTGAAGTAGGCCATGGGAATGCAGACAATGCCGAAGAAAGCGTTGAAAGCTCTCATGAAGGTGTAGTTCACATCCTCGGGGTACTTCTCGCCAGACTTGAACTCGAAAGATCCATTGTAGCCAGCGAGAACTCCAGACAGACCAACGAGCATCTTGCCCAGGGGCGGGTGGACGTCGAAGTAGTATTCATGCTTGATGTAGTGGCTTCCGAACTTGCCAAAATGCGCCTCGTCCCAAGTGACAATATCGCTAATGCCAATCTTCCAGAGTCGGGTGAAGATTGCGACGGCCGTGAAGATGAGAGGAGCAATGACTACCTCCCACTCGTCGAAAAATGATGTTTGCTGGGGGGTTGTGTCGTCAGCACGGAGCTCTCTCGTATGGACAAAGAACAGGCTCGAAACAGGGGCCAATTACCTTCTTGGCGTACTTCTTCTTGTCATCGGTCTCAGGGGCAGCCGTTACGGGAACTGACTGGCCCTGGGGGGCGGCTCTTCGTCTGACGCCATCGCCGACGTCTGCGCCGGACGCGATCACTGTCTTCTCGGCAGCCATGACTGCGCAAAGGCAAGGTCAGCAAACGGAAGGGCTGAAGAGGGCAGGAATGCAGTGGAAGGGTGACCTACTGACTGGAAAAGCCGGAGAGACCAGAGGTCTCGACGAACGCGGTTTAGGGGGTGTGTGGTAGGGAAGGCGAGAGAGTCAAGCTCCAAGAACAGGAACAGGAGCTCTGAGCTTTCCGCGTTAAGGATCGGACGAGTCAAGACTCAAAGTGTAAAAATAAAAGTAGGAACCTGAAATTCTCCGGACTGGAGAAGACGGTAAGAAAGGACCACAGAGCCAAATGAAGCCGCACCTCAAACAAAAGTGAATGGTGTGCTCCTGGGGCTACGGGATGTCCAGCTCCTCATCAACAAGATCGTGAAGGGGTTGCTGAAGGAAGAAGGACCTCGAGAAGTGGACAGCTGAAAGGGAATCATCCAATTAATATGGACCTGGGCAATTGGATGACGGGGGAATTTTTTGGTGAGGCCCTGCTAAATCGGGAGCATCTAAGGCAAGGGCCAGGTATCCGTCGAGGCAGGCAGGCAGTGGCAGAGCAAGCAACAAGGTAGAAGCCATGGAGCGTACCCAGCTGGAGGAGCGTAGGAGCGCCCCCTTGCTGGACACACGAAATAAATGCCACCTATGCACCAACCGACACGGTATCCCTCCCTTCCAGACCAACCCGCACTTTACGCGAATCCAGTCCCCGGGAGCCAGCCAATCGATTTGGGGGCTGCCATTGGACGAAGCTGCGTCCTTTGGCGGACGGGACACGCATTCCCTCTCGATGGAATGGCCCTGAATGGCCCTAAATCACAAAATGGCCCCTCCATTACCCCCTGCCCCCACAGCTGCTTCCCCCTAAAGTCCCCACGGTGCATCGTCGCCCGCTGTGTGATCAGCCTCCTATATCGAGCATCCTCCCACGCTGCATCTCATCCTGAGTTCTGGGCCCCGACTACAAATACTACTCATCGGCACGGATACTGATGAGGCACATGGTGACGGCATGCCGTGTAGATGGCCATCACTGTCTGTCTGTCCTCGATCCGAGCTGACTAACGCCCGAAGGCACGCGTGCCTTTCCTACTGCTTCCTAGCACCAAGCCATAACGGGATGCCCGTCCCGTCCAAGGCCACACGATGCCGCCAGGCGATGCGGAACAGACACACAGGCCAGCATCCACGTAAGAAGCGTCAGAAGCACAATGTCTTGTCTTCAAGTTGACAGCTGTGGCTCCTCTGGCCGAAGCTCTGGCGGCGCTAACCCTTCCGGGTCTCTGGATGGGGTCCCTGTTTTCGGACCCTGCCGGAAATGCCAGTGCACATCGATGGGCATCCACCGCGTCTTCCTTGCCGTACGGTGCAACGCAAAAGTCGGCGGAGGGTGGGCTCAGAGCTCGGGCGTCGGTGTGTGCAACCTCCAGAGTCGCGACAATGGGCGGAGTCTTGGGCGGCGGGATGCTGAGTCGTGCGTGGACAGAGAAGCAAGAATATGTTTTCTTCCTTCTCAGATGCTCAGCTTCCCTCTGCGTGTACTCCGTAAGATAGGTAGTCACCGCAGTAGGTACCTTAGGTTCTGCAAGGCACCCAGTCGGGTGTCTTAGATAATCAGGCACCCAGTAAAGAAATGCGCAGACTGCAGCGAGGAATACCCGTCCAGCGGTGTTCTTCACCCGGGCACCACCACCCTCAGGGAAGAAAAAAGGGGGTCGTTGCCTGTGCCGGACCGGTCGCGGCCAATCAGCCCCGCCGGTCAAGCCTCTCGACTTCAAGCCGCATGCGGAATCGCCAGCCAGGCGCATCACATGTCTTTTGTCCCTTCCCGTCCGCTCCGTCCCCCCTCCTGGCCCCCGTCTGGTCTGGGTTGATCCGTCGTCAAATCGAAGTCTTAGTCACTGTTGACTCTGACCGACCCCATTGCGGTGCAGACTTCGGCTCTCCGACACTTGTGCTAGACAAACAGTCGCTCGTCTTGGCCTGACAGCACTTGTCTCGTCTTGTCCTGCTGCAGTTCATCCCCACTGCGTCCACCCCGACGAGCGCCGCCGCCGACGAGCGCCGCCGCCGACGACAGCCGCCGCCGACGACAAGCCAGCGCACTGGAGTTCGAGACCATCTTATGTCATCTCGTCTGCATCCAATCGACCGGGACCGTACCACTACCGACATCAACTCTACCACCGCTACTAACACCGCCTCTACCACCACCGCTCCTTTGTATATCTTTCCCGAGCCTCCCCGGCCAACCTTCTCTTCCTCTTCTTGCTGCCTGTCGCTCTGGATGTACGCCTTGCCATACAACCGAGTGTCACTTGCTGCATAGCCAACTCGGTCATCCGAACCTAGATCCAGAAGACGCCCCATTCCCAATGTCTTCTTTGGTCTCCGAGTTCATCATCAACCCGGTCCTCCGGCAAGCACGCCGCTTTTCTGAGATTTCGAGAACCACTCTCGTCCCCGAACCCGACGCTTCTTCCTCCGACAACCTTGCGGTTGCCAGCGACTCGGAAGCCCCCGCCCCTCGGCATGCGACCGATGCGCCTGCGGTGACTCCTCCGGACCGACCTCTCAGCGCAGATACTCTATCGCCGACCGTCGAAGCCGAGCTGCCCCCGTCCGAACCAGCACGTGCGCCCCCGGAATCCTTCCCCATCACCGTCCCGATGCAGGTCCCCAAGCGTGAGGCCTTGCCGGCCGACGATGGCATGGGCGCATTGCGAAAGCGCCTTATCGAAATCCAAGGCCAGGAGATACGGGGGGAGGAAAAGGCGAGGCTCATGCACGAGGTGCTGATGGAGGGCTACCGCAAGTCCCGTGTTACTCCCCAACAAGGCGACCCGCCTGTGGATGCTCTGCCGGCCGGCGAAGCGTGGCAACAAACACTCCCATCGGGACCCCTGGAGTCCCTGAAGTTCTGGCAGCATCCTCCAGGGGAGCCATCCTCCCCGGAAAAGTTTGTGTTGACGGCAGAAGATGTCAGACCAACCTACGCCCCAGCAAAGCCTACGATTCCTGGAGAGGTTGAGGGCGCAAGGGTTCTGGGCTGCCAGCACTACAAGCGCAACATCAAGCTGCAATGCTCGACTTGCAACAAGTGGTACACATGTCGGTTTTGTCATGACGCTGTCGAAGATCACACTCTCATTAGGAAGGAAACCAAAAACATGCTCTGCATGCTCTGTGCTTGTCCTCAAAGGGCGTCAGAGGTTTGCGTCAACTGTGGCGTGACCGCCGCTCGCTACTATTGCAACGTATGCAAGCTGTGGGACGATGATCCAACCAAGAGTATTTACCACTGCAGCGATTGCGGCATTTGTAGGAAAGGAAGAGGCATCGGGAAGGACTTCTTCCATTGCAAGGTGACTACCCTCTTCCTTGCGCTACGAGGTGGACTACTGCTGACCCTGAGCTCTAGAAATGCTGTGCTTGCATCTCAATATCGATTCAGCATTCACACAAGTGTATCGAACGTTCGACAGACTGCGATTGTCCAATTTGTGGAGATTACATGTTCACCTCTCCCAAGCCTGTCGTGTTCATGCCCTGTGGTCACAGCATTCACAAGAGATGCTATGACGAACACATGTTACGGTCATACAAGTGTCCAATCTGCAACAAGAGTTTGTTGAACATGCAAAGCCAATTTCGCCAGTTGGAGTTGGCGATTCTGAGCCAGCCCATGCCTCCAGAATTTAGGGACACGCGCGCTACGGTTCTTTGCAATGACTGCAGTGGACGCAGCTCAGTACCTTATCACTGGTTGGGCCTCAAGTGTGCCATATGCACCTCGTACAATACGGTAGAATTGCAGATCAGTGGCGGAAGAGAAGGCGCAGCTACCGCACAAGCTATTCCCAGCCGCGGTGGAAGGGATGGGGCAACGACCACACGGCCACTTCCAATCGACCCTCCAACGCCTGCTGCCATTTTGGAGATGGCTGCAATCTTGGATAGTCCGTTGGCTGGGGCCACGGACGGCAGTACAGGGATCCTTGACCCTTCGTCAACAATCGCCACTGACGGGACTGCCACCGGCACTACCATTGGAAGGCGCCGACATTCCTCACACGCCTCAAATGAGGCACAGGCACGGTTCTTGGTGCTAGATCGCTTGGCAAGATCAGCCTCTCCAGCGCCTACACCCGGTCTACCACCGAGTCTCACACGAAACCCTTTGCATGGCGCGATCGAGGAGGAGGAATCAGACAACGATATACTGAACCTTTGGGGTCGGTTTCAACGTAGGTCTGAAGAAGACAGCGATTCCATGTCTACCGACTTGGAGGAAGAGGACGATGAGTATGATGAGGAAGATGACGACGATGACGATGACAATGACTTCATGCTCATTGGTCACCGTTGATCTGGCAGACGTGCCGTCATGTTATGAATGATGAGGTGTATCGCTCGGGTTGTGCGACGGGATCGAGAACGGCGCAAAGGGGCATGTGACGGTATCATAGTCTGGACATACGGGTTTCATAGGTCATGGTTTGGTTGGCGGGCATAGCTTTGGTTGGGTTCTGGATGCCGGCGTTCCCAGGAGGCCAAATTTGCCAGCCCTGGAGTGGGACATTGAATTTCGTACACCCATGGAGACTGGGTTCTAGGAAGTCTCCATAATAGAATATGAACGATTTTGAACAAAACCAACGCCAAAGAACGCCGTGAAATCGTTGTTTCCGTCCATCCTAACCGTCTCCTAATGTCGTGACTGTCATGATCAAGCGCCTTGGGTAGACCATCGTGTATCCTCTCTCATCGACGACGGGAAGCAATCTGCGCATCCACCTCTTGGGCCTCCTTCCTCAACTCCTTGACGACAGTCTGAAAAGTACACACATGAGCTTGGGGCGTTTGCACGGCACGGTACATCCTGCTGCTACTTACTGCCAGAGCCTCGGGGTTGACACCATTCTCAATCATGGAGATGCAGATTGAGAGCGTGCGGCGGTCCAGATGGCAGTTCTTCACGTGAAAATGGTCAGAGTAAGATCTCTGGAAGCGTGAGCTAGGCGCGGCAGCGAGGACTTACGAGAATGACAGAGATCTCGTGGAGGATATCGACAGCCTGCTGTGCGGCAGCCTGCTTTCCGGTCCTGTCGTCGGCGGGCATTTTGTGAGATGGCGATTATCCTCGGCCTCGGAGTCTCATGGGCAATGTGTCAGGGGAGTGAGACGTCGGGGCGCGGCGAGATGCAGTGAGGTGGGTGATGTTCAGTGACCGCCATCAAAGGTGCCCGCCTACCTTAGTGTACCTACCCAAGGTAGTGTTTAGCGGAAGCGGGGCCACCTTAGTCGGCGTGGGCCGAACCAAACGCGTCGGACGCGCTGGTGCAGAAAGCTCTTTGCGCGGTGCAGGGATTGGCTGGGTCCCAAGGTGGACACCGCAACTACCGGAAATGGGCGTCGCATTCGCGCCTGTGAGCCGCGATTGACCGAACTTTTCCTCTTTCTCAGTCTCAGTCGCATGTCTCACCCGTCCCATCTCGTTATGACACCAATCTTGCTGCGAATGCCAGCATTTGCTTCTTTTTGACGCCTGTTCTCTTGGATATCGACCGTCAACAGGCAGCCATATGGTCACCGACTGTGCCTAGTCCGTCACCGTCCACTAAAACCAACCATCGCATGATGCAACACACGCCGTCGTCTTCTCACGATATGCTCAGTTTCTCACGGACATATTGCTTGGATCTAAGGGAAACGACCGGGTCTAATGGCTGACGTACGGGAAGAGACCAGCCGCTTGTACGGCCCCCCAAGAATTACAATCGTTCCTCATGAAGGCCTCGAGGAAGGACCGCCTCAGCTGCATGCCAGCCGTGTTCCAAGTCTGGGTAGGTCGGCCGCCGAAAGCCTGTCTTTCACGATACTGACGCCGGACCAGCTCGAGCCCTTCGCATCATTCAGCCTTTGGATACATTGTACCCCTCAGCCAGATCTACGGAGAACGCACCTGCCTCGACTGTGTGGGACTCGCAACGTGTGCAGAGACGATGGCTGTTCAACGCCCACCCGGAAGCATTCATCGGAAGCTCCGATGCTGCCGGCTTCTTGGCTGAGGGCCTCTCTCAGATGATGCGCCCCGACGCCACCCCCACGGCACAACCGCTCATGACCATTAGCCAGATGGCAGACGTTAGTAACCACACTCGCATCTCCCCGGTTCCGGTGCTGGCCATGGCCACTGGCGAGTCTGGGGAGCTTCTTCGGCTATCTAGGCTGGACGAGACGAAATGGCAGTGGGGTGAAGACGAGAACCCTACGCTTCGTCTTTTGAATGTCGATCAGCAGGACAGGGAGGAGACTGTGCTGTGGTCCAGTGACGGAGCTCCTATTCTGCAACTTAAGCCTGCGCTTAGCTTGGTGCGATTCGAGCCCGCTCGATGGCTGCTGGTGCAAAAGAGGACATCAACCATGGTCCTCCAGCCGGAGTACCACAGAATTCCAGTATCAGAGCGTCGGCCGGGTATTGACAAGGCAGTTGAACGCCCCTCCCGAATCAACCCAAAGCCCATCTTGACCATCACCTCGGAGCAGACGGGCGGCTTTCCACACTCCGATGTCTCCTTCAGTTACGGGTCTCAGAGGAAGCCTCCACAGTTGGCCATCATCGACGAGTGTGGCTACTATAGTGTCTGGGATGTCAAAGGCCGAGACATGGTCGGGTCAACAAGCAAGCGTGCCAAGCTGAGACATTGCGGACACATTCAGCTGGGCATCACGGAACAGCTGCCTGACGAAGACTCGCCAGCCTTCCGCGCAGAGCCTCACGGGCTGTTGTGGATCGGTGCCGCCGGCGTGGGCGTGGATCTTTGGGATATCCCCGCCATCGAGGACCTGGAAATAGAGAATGATTTGGCGGCGATGACTGCACGGTCCAAAAAGCTCATGATCTGGAACCGCACAAAGTTCGAGGTGATTGACACAAAAGACCCAAGCTACCGGCACAGCTTGTCGATACTCAAGTCGGATGTGCTGGATTACATCCTCGATGTAAAGCCAAATCCAGTGAATCGCAGTCAAGTGGTCGTTCTCACTACATCGGCTCTTTTCTGGATTGAAACATCGTCACCGACGGCGGTCAAGACTGGAGGGCTTGCCATACTCCAGTCATTCGCACATCTTCGAATCTCAGACGCCGACTCTCTGAGGCTTACGGTTCATCATAGTGGACATGGACTGGGCAACGAGAGTTGCATCGCTTATCTTTATTCGGAGAAGTCGCCAGAAGTTGAGCTGTTTTGGTTATCCATACCCGAGAAGACGGGCCTGCCCCAGTTTCAGCATTTTATGATGATGCTCGAAAAGGGGCCCGGCGAGAAGCCGCTGAAGATACAGACTCTGTGTCCAACTCCAGCCTTCTTCACTAGCCAGTCATCGGAGCCGCTCAAGGGCCTCGGTGCGGAATACCTAAATCAGCAGGTCGGCTTCCAGCAGCTGTTCGTTCTCGGAAGGGATTTGGCTTTAGAGCAAACCATCATGGCTGTCACATCAAAACCCGACCTTGAGATCATCCCGCCAGACTACAGTCGCGACTGGTCCAAAGATGCTCGAAGGAGGGCCCACAAAAGGAGGCGGAAGCAGTTTCTACATTACTTTGGAGATACGTTTGTAGTGCCTGATGGATTGGGAGACATGGACGAGCTCGTGCAGCGTCGTGCCACTCGATACCAAGAAATCTTGCAGCAAACTCAGGGAGGAGATGATGAGCAACTACAGCAGCGATGGCCAAGGACCCAGAATTTCGACCTTTTCCTGTCTCGAGTCGCCATGTCCATCGATTCAGTCGTCATGGCTGCTGAAACGCCTAGCATTGAGGGCCCCCTATCCGTTTTTGACGCCATCCAAGATGCCACGGTCAATTGCCTTGATACGGAGGGAGGCTACATCCCTTTGCACACTTTGTGAGTCCAGCATGAAACGAGATGATAAGTCTCGGTTTATTAACATCTGTTAGGCACGAGTATGAGGCGACATTTGAAGCACCTCCAATGGGCAACGAAGCCATCGCCGCTTGGGACGCGCGTCTCCACGAATTTTTCGATGTCAACGATCAACGCATCGTTGCTCAGCCATTTACATCCCAACTCTTACGCCAGGGAGACGCGACACCTTTGGCGGACATCCGCCACAAACTCGAAGAATTATGGAACTCGCCGGATCTCCCCGAACGCGCACAGCACTCTCGCAGCGTCGTGCTCGCCGAAACCGCAGAAGCGATCGCGAGATCACTCTTTGGCGTGGCGGTCCTCGACGAAAACATCCCAGTCGCAGAAGACGAGCCGTCCACCTGGGTTCCAACGCCACCCGAGCTGCAATCTCGACAGCCGAGCCAGCGCCTCTCAATGTCCAGCCAAAGATCTTCGCTAGGAAGCCAACGTCTATCAATGTCGCCCTTCAAGCCACGCGACTCGATGTCTCCGATCAAAGCATCACGGCCAATGTTGTCGCCGATCAAGCCGCGGCTCTCCATGTCCCCCCTGAAACCCCGCCGCTCAATGTCCCCTATGAAATCCCCCTCCAAACCCTCCTCCTCGGCGCCGTATTCCTCAAACCCGTTCTCCTCCTCACAACCACAGTCCCAATCCTCTGCCGCCTCCGCCGACGCAGCACTGGCCGCCTCGAGCGCCCTCCAACGCCTGAGCATGCTCGCTGCAGACATCAACACGACAGATGGCCCGACCCGCCAGCATACGGTCCTCTCCTACTGGCCCACCAGACGCGGCGTGCCGACAGAGAACTACGTCTCCTCCGTCCTTGCCTCCTCCACAAAGCACATGGACGCCATCAAAGAGCGCAAGGAGCGCATCGAATCCAAACGCCGCAGGCGCAAGTCGCAGCTCGCCTCGTCGCAGACGGCGGCAGCAGCCACGCAGTCCGAGATGGAGGAGTCCGGGCCGGCGGGGAGCGCGAGCGTGCCGGTGCCGTCGGAGGCCCCCGCCACGCAACCGCTGCCCAAGTTTGCCGCGCCGCCAATCATCGGATCGAGCCAGGTCTCGCCGATGCGGTCCTCGCAGGCCGTCATGTCGTCGCAGATTCCGCAGGTCATGTCGCAGCCGATATCCGGACGGCACGCGATGCGTTCGCCGAAGAAGAAGGGCAAGAGAAAGTCTGGTTTCTGAGGCTGCGGACACTTACTTCGGTACTTATTTTTGAAGGGAAAAGGTGTTTTGGTTCATTATTCAATGTTTTCTTCTATACCGTAGCGATGGCTAGGCTTGTTGGAGATTACTACAATACCCCCATGCAATGTTTTTTCTTCGAATCACTCTTCATACTCCTCGCGTGACTGTCTTCACTGCCGTCCTCCGATACCCCCGCCAACCTGATTGATCCCCGTGCCCTTGAGCTTGTGATCGCCGGGGTTCGCCGCTGCCTCATACATGATGTTAGCCGGCGCGCGGCCGAGCTGCATCCACTCGCCCTTGAAGCCGAGGTAGCTGACGCGGGTCTCGTCCTCGTCGCCGTCGGAGAAGTTGTCGACGAAGAAGAGGGTGAGGCGCTGGACGCGGCCGAAGAGGGCGCGCTTGACGGGGATCTCCTGGACCTGGGAGGTGCGCGAGAGCTCGAACTCCTGGGTGGGCGCGGCGTCCTCGGCGGAGGAGAAGTCGAGGTCGTCACGGTTGATGAAGACCTTGAGGGTGCGCGGGGCGGAGGGGGAGTCTGAGGTGCGCAGGAGCAGGGCGTGGAGCTTTACTTGGCCGGTGAAGCTGGAAGTTGTTAGTTAATTTGGCGAGTTTTGGATATGGTGGTTGATTGTGAGCGTTGGTAGGATGAGATGAGGTGAAAGTTGGTGTGCGGAATGTGAGAGTGAGCGGCCGGTTGGCCTCCGCTCGGTCACCATGGCTCGGGTTTTGAGGTGTAGAAAGCCATGTTATGTGTTATGAGAACAGGTGTGAGAAGATATAAGGAATAGTAAAACGTACGGGATGTTGACCAACAACTGCTCATCCGCATCACTCACGACCTCGGGCTCCGCGTCCAGCCTCTCGGCCCACGTCTTCTTCGCGACGCTGCGCGCGCTGCCGATCTGCGACTCGTTGAGGGCCGTCACGTCGTCGAAGTTGATGTGGCTGTAGAGAGAGTGCTGGAGTGCGGGCGTGATGTCGTCTGAGTGGTCGTGCTCATCGTGGCCGCCATGGCTGTGGTCGTGGTGTTCGTCGTGGCAGTGGGACATTTTTGGCGGACGAGGTGGGGGTGGAAGGGCAGAGATGGTTGTTGGGTTTTTCCAACTTGACTCCGTAGTTGAATGAGACTTGCAGTTAGGATGGATGTGGCAGAATGTCTTTGACTTTGGACGGCTCGGAGGCAAGCAAGGGTGTGTGAAAGACGTTTGTCGTTTGCTTGGATGATGGATTGAAAGATGCCAGTGACAAACGGACCCCGCTATGTGTGAAAGGTTGGAATGCTGGTCTCTGATTGGCTGGTTTGCCACAGCTCTCATCCCGGAGCATCCAGCATCCAAGTGCTGTCAGACTATGGGCAACGTGCTTGAACGACTTGATCAGCCTCTAGGCTAAGTTAACCTTGAGATTTCTCAATGAAGGAAAGATTTATCTTTTAAATGTTTAGCATTTCAAACACCTATGCTCTATTTTAACATATGTGCCGTTCACGAGGGCCATCATGTAAGACGTTCATCCCTCAACCCGGCTTGATATGCTTTACTTGAAGCTACAGCTGAAAGCATCTAAGTTCCGGATTATAGAAAGAGGCAAAGAGGCGGAGCAAGTCATCCTGTTGCTTCTTCAAAAATCGAATGAGCTTCTCATAATGTTTTGACACATGGAATGGCCCGGACGCAAATTGACCTTGCAGCAAGCGCAGAAGTCAGGTGGAGCTCAGTTCTAAACTTGGCTCGTCATGAGCGTATTTTGAGAGGTAATAATTCGTGGACGCGGCAGACGGGTAGTATCGAGATGTTGCGTGAGCCATGCTCCAAAGTAGCCTCAATTACCAAAGCTAGTGGATTCCTACTGAAGGGAATGTGATAGGACATTGACCCTTTGCCTCATAGAGCGATAGAGGAATCATGGAATGATATTTGTGAGCTTCAGTGGGTGTGATTCAATTCACAGGATGCTCTTTTAAGCTGCTGGCCTGAATGATGTGCTAGAAGCTAGCTAAGCATACACATCCACCCTTGCTCATTCTTTAAATACACCTTCACTAATGTTCTCCTCAATTTTGAGGAGAACTATTAAAAGATGGTGTCTCCCTGGTCATTCATTCAGTCTTGAACCTCGTGGGAGAATCGGTGTGACATTACTCACAAGATTACCTCTTTTGCGGAGTCTGGTCCCTGAAGCAAAACCGGCGTGGATTCTGCGGCATGAATACGCGCACAGTGAGCGCGATGAGGACGGACACAGCACAAAGACATGCTCTGAACAATGAAAACATGCCCAGGAGCAGAGGCAGTCAACCACTTAACCTACCTAGATGGAGGCACTGTACTGTCCCAAATCGCTGCCTGCGGCTCTGCCATCTTTGTTCACGCTGGCGGTCTCTCTTCCAAACGGTAGCATCACTTTCTGACCAGCTGTTAATGAAGCCGAGGTGAAGTCAGATCAGCTTGCCCACTTAGGATAGAGAAGTTTTTCATTAATAGTATGGCCAATGAATTGTGCCGTAGCACCAAGTGCTCACGGACTACATATCACATTAGACGAGACGAGGTGTTAAGCTACTTTTTGTCATTCCATTGCCTTTGCAGTCCCGTATTTACAACCAGGATCGAGTTACTCTACAATCAAGAACCGATTTACCAACCATCCCAAAGCCTAAAAAGCCAGTCGCGGTGGTATCATATTGAGCCAAATGTGCCTCTCCCTTCTCTGTCCAAAGAGACGGAATTGTTACTGCTGTGGTATTTCCCTTTCCGGATTTTTCCCCTTCCTAACGCCGATTTTAATGCACATCATGGCAGGCCATTCCGGGTGGGGAGGCCAAAAAGGACGCCAAAATACAAAGCCAAACCCGTCCCATATGCAAGATGACCGAAAGCTATACTAATGCTGCTTTACTTGCTGCCGGGGGCAGGGAACACGAAGCCAGGAGGGTACTGGGGCATGCCATTGGGCAGGGTGCTGATGCCGAACGGGAACTGCTGAGGAAGGGGTTGAGCGTTGGCTCCGGACGCCTTGCCATCCTCACGGCGATCGCGGCCACGGCGGTCGCGGCCAAAGTCATCGCGGTCGTCGCCATCATCGTGACGGCGAGTGGAGCGGGGTCCGTGGTTGCCGCTCTTGTCAGTCTGCATGCGACGGCTGATGGCCTTGGAAGAGACGCCAGCACCGATCTCAATGTCGGGCTCCTCGACGACGAGGCCCGTCTCGATGGGTCTGCCGCCGCTTCCACCATACTCGGCAGTCAGCATCCACTTGCGGTCAGCCTCTGTGAGCTTGGCAATGGGTATGATGCTAATGCCGGTCTGGTAATCACTGCAGTCACGCGGGCCGAAACCAACACCCCAACGGGTCTGTGTTTGTTAGCTTGAGACATCAAGGGATGGAGAATGCAGTAAACTTACCCGAAGCTGAGGATCGCCATCACGGTTGGCTTCCATGGCCTCCTTGGCTCGAACAGCATCTTCACGACTGATCATCTTGACGAAAGCATGGCGCTTCTCCTTGTTGACGATGCAGGTCTGCACCTGACCGTACTTGCTGAAAACCTCACGCAACTCGCGCTCAGTGTAGCTAGCTGAGGTGTCAGTATGGTTGGGTGACAGTATAGAAGGTAGTACTTACGCTACTCCGCCGACGAAGAGGGTACGGCTGAGAACCTTGATCCTTCCATTGGGAAGGGAACGATCAAATTCAACCCACTTATCACCGGAGTTGCGGCGGGGAGTAGGACTACGGCCGTTTCTGCCGACAGGACTGCGTTGACGATAGTCACTGCCTCGTCCACGGCCGTCTCGGTCGTCTTGGCGACTGCGGTTGGGCGACTGGCGGTAGTCATCACGGCTGCCGCGAGGAGAGCCACGGGTGGGGCCGCGAGAGTCCCAACGGCGACCAGGGGACCTAGAGCGAGAGCGGCCGTACCCGCCGGGGGAACGAGGACCCTCACCGTACCGGTGCTGGTCACGGCTGTCGTTGGATTGGACGGGTCCGCCCCATCCCTGTCCGGTGGCGTTCGCGTAGGGGTTGTGCGCCGCAGGTGTGGCTGAAGCACCAGGCGCAGGCTGAGCAGCATTGAAAGAAGCCAGGAGACCAGGCAACTTGTCCGCAGACACACCGGCATCAGTGAACATCTTGAGGAGCTGGGCCACTTGCGAGGCCTGAATACCCTGAGCTTGAGGAGCCGGCGGCTGAGGCGCGGCAGCACCAGGGAACGGCATGCCGAATGGCATCTGGGGCGGAACAGGGGGCTGAGGCATCGCGAAAGGGAATTGCGCAGCCATAGGGGCAGGAGTTGCGGCAGCAGCAGCAGGCTGCGAGTAGTTTGCCATGGAAAAAGGGGGCTGAGCGTAGTTGGTAGGAGGGGCAACCGGCTGCTGGTTCTGCTGCTGATGCCGGGCAGCAACATTCTGAAGGTTGGCCAGGATGCTGGATGCACTTTGGAGCGCGCTCTGAGATGTTGCCTGAGGTGCAGTCTGGGGAGCAGCTGGAGCGGCAGTGGGAACTGAAGCAGGCGGCTGGGGAGGTTGAGGAGAACCTGCGTTGTTCTGTTTGGCCAAGTTGGCAAGAGCTGCTATGATGGCATTGCTGCTCTGAGCAGAAGGGGGAGGAGGTTGAGTCGGAGCGGCCGGTCGGTTGGTGTTGTAGCCCATGAATGCGACCAAGCCTGGGGGGGGACTACCCTCCGGCGTGGTGGACTGGGCTGCAGGTGATAGTATGTTAGTAAAATGGCTATCAGGCTTTGACGATGGGTGTAGAATGATACCCATCATCTCGTGGGAAGACATACTCGGCTCAGGGGCGGCCTTCAACTTCTGGCGGAATGACTCGAGCATTGTAGAGGGGAACGTTGATCCTTTTTCCCAAATGTCCAGGAGCTTAGAGATCTTATCCTATGAGGTACGAAATTCATGTAAGTAGTTGGTCTTCAAGGTCAACAAGGAGCGAGCAGTAGCGTGTCAGCAATACGTGATGTGCGCATCTTCACAAGTATCGCAGTCTTTGTGTGTGTAGATCCAGGCCTTCAAGTGTGAGACAAAAAATGAAAGCACAGGTAGCTGGTAGAAAGCACTCGGCTTGCAGCACTACAACGTTCGATGCGTAGATTGGACATGGAGGACAAGCACTCCAACTGTTCTCGAGAATTAAGCGTACCTTTTGGCCCTCGGGCAACAGCTGCAGCATGTCATTCATAAGGACAGGCATGAGCTCGGTGACCCGGTGAACACCAGCAGCAAAGGTTCCATCAGAAGCAGAACCATCAACATGCTGACCAGCAGACTTCGCTTGCTCCACCCACTTTCGAGTCACGGAGTCAACGACGTAGAGGACGCCCAGCTTGTGGGAGATGGGGGCCTTCTTGAAATGCATGAACAGCTTCTGAACGATAATAGACTCAGACTGCGGGAAAGAATATTGAGGTTAGTTCCAAGTCACCAGGCACTGGCGATGCGAGAGGCGCGTCAACAATCGTACCTGAACATTTTCGACACAGATCTTGGTTATGACACCAATACGGGATCCCGATACACCAGGAGGTTTGAGGGTGAGCATGGTCTGGAGACCCTCTTCTAGGTCCGCAAGTGCGGAAGCCATGGTGCTGGCGTTGTTGCGACGATGGCGACGGCGATGTTGGGCGTGGTGTTGTTGTTTTTCAAGAGTAGAAGTAAATCCAATCCCAGTTGCAAAAATACGAGGGACGGAGGAAGGCAGGCGAGTGCAGGCAAGAGGAAAGAGAGAAAGCCTGCAGTGGCCAGCAGCCGAAAAAGTCTGCGCAAGAAGTGCGCGGTGGGCGATTTACTGGTTGGTGGGTGGGAGGAAGTTGTGTGTACGTGAAGTCCCAAGCGGAAGGCGAGGAGTCAACTGAGAGCCACCCGACGTTCCTTCCACAGCAAGAGCAGGAGCACCTCAACGACAGTTCGTCGCTCTTTCCCCCAGTCAAAGTGTAGGTAGGTAGTGTAGTTTCTGTGATTTTACAAGCCGCAGACCGAAAATCCCACAGGTCGCAGACCAGACCTCTCTCTCAAAGTACGAACGATGCGAGTCTCTGGATTGGATGACTCTCTACTTGTACGGACAGAGCGTGCGACACGTTTGAAGAGTCGTCCAAGGTCACGGAAGAGATTTCTAAATGGCAGGAGTCGTCGACGACTACTACTTTTCTGGCTTTACCCACGGTCGGACTTTGCGGTCCACGGAGGAGAAGTACGAAACTCGTCAAAATACGATGACAGCCTCGATGGAAATGTGGCTATCAGGCTTCGGGACGGATGGGCGTGATGCAGGTTTGCGCTGCGGTTTGTCAGTAGTTTGGTGTAGATTACTAGATGGGAAGGGAGGTCGTGGTGAGAGAAGGAAAGTTTGCAGAGTGGGGAGGGGGCGGGAGCTGGGCCGCTTTTTGGAGACGAATGGAAGGTGCTGCTGAGCAAGAGCATTACGGTTGGCGGTGAGACGTGGCAGAAAGCCAGCGCTGATGCCGCTTTATTTTCGGTCACACCTCTGGATGGAGACTTTTCAATGGCTAAGATCTTGTCATCTGGCCTTCTAGCCTCAGGCAAATGACACACTTGCAGCAGGCAGAGGTTCCTGCTGACGGTGCTAGGTACGTACCTGCAAAGTCGCGACCCGAGGCGAGATGAACGGCCCACCGCCGAAGTTCTCCCGCGAAGGCGATCGGAACTCGACGCTCGCCAGAGGTCCGTCCCTGCGCTCGCTTCCATTTCGTTAGCGCGCCAATATGGAAATAATGGGAAATGCTTTTTTGCTCGGCGCTCGGATTGGCCAGAGCTCCCGTCAACACTTCTGCGTCGTCGGGCCGGACACGATAACAACAACGGAGCCTGTACGCACAGCTGGTCGCTATGCATGCAGATAACATCCACTGGAAATGATGAGTATTTGCTCTGCTGGCCAATAAGTCTGCAGCTGCAGCAACGTGTCTATCTGATCGTCATTACATGCAAGCATTGAATTAGGTGCCATCGTTGCGAAAACAATGGCCCGGAGACGACGATATCGGGACGGGCAAACAGACGGCAATGCCATACAGATGACCAGCCAACTTGTGTGATGGCCGGCTATGTCGTCGACTGCAATATCGTGGGCGAACGGAAACCCCAACATCCCGCGCGGCCAAGCAAGAGCATCCTCGGATGAGGCGGTTAAGAAGCTGCTGTGCCACGAATGGAAGTTCTCTCCAAGACGGGCAGGAGGGCTGGTTTCTCGTTCCCATAGGTTGCATTGAGGCGTGCGGCGGGTCACGGAGGCTCGGAGCTGGCGGTAGACGTGCGAGACAAGCTCGGAGCTCTGGGCGGACGGCGAGGATCAGCAAAGCGCCTCGACGCTGTTTACTCCTTACTAACGCAGGCACCGAGTCCGGCTTCTGTAGCACAGTAACTCGCCCTCTCACCCACAAGTTGGTGGGCGGACGATTCGTGGGGGAACGGCCCGTCTCCCAGATGCCCCGGATGTCCAACAAGTCAATCTTGCCTGGGAAATATCGTCCAGTCTCACCGTGAGGCGCATTGTTCTTGGCCAGGCCCAGGTCAAGGCTGCGATGTCTATGTTGGGCATACTGTTGTGTGCAATGCAGTTGGCTGGCTGGCGTTCCGAAATTCGGACGATGGGGTGGGTGCTCCGAGAGAAGCCGCCCAGACATCCACAATTTTCGGCTTTTCGCGCGCAAAAACGGGGCGCTTGATACGGAGAGGAAACTGGAGACAGCGTGGGCAGGACAGATTTTACAAGATGTGTGGATACAATAGGTACGTAAAAAGACGGGGACTCCTTAGTGGGAGTCGAGATCCAGAGATTGACAGGATAGATTGATTGGAGTCGGTTGGGGGGGCACCGGCTGCATGAAACGGTACCAGTCGGGCTTTCTCTCTCCCTCGAGCTCCTTACCTCAGGTATCGACGGCCTAGAAGAATCCCGTCGCAATTGAAACCAGCCCTGAGTAAGTTAGGGGACACGATGTTGTGCGAATATGGGATCCCGGGCATCACCGTCTGAGGAGGGAGGCCACTGGGAGGGATTCTTTGTAGACAGAGTGTCAGATGGCGGCTGAGTGAGTCTCTCAATCATTCCTAGGTGTCTACATCAAGTTCGATGGTCTGGTCTGGGCTGGACAGGCTGCCCTGCTGTCTTGTTGGACGTTTGGGCCGCGGGACGTTGGGGATCGCGCCAAAGGGCTCAATCGCTGCAGGTCAACCGGGTGAAAAAGTACCTCGTGCGCCGAAATGTGCAGCGCCGATACCTCACCGCCAGCGGCTGTCCCGTGTGCCCGGGGCTTCCACAATCCACTGGTAGGTATTTCCGTCCACACCTGCCGCCCAAAGTGATGTAACTTTCGTGCAGGGGGGTCAAGTCCGGGAACGCCTACCTCATATTTTTTTTGCCATTGCGCCTTTTTCTCAAGACCTGGACATTTCCTTCCTCTTCCCGACTTCCTCTCTTCACCAGTCCCTCACCTCTCAGTATTCTCACAATGGCCTCTGTCGCGCGTCTTTCCTCCTCGGCTCTGAGGACCTCCCTCAGGGCCTCCCCCTTCAATGCTAGACTGACGGCTTTCAACGCCGCCCGCTGCTACTCCTCCAAGAACCAGGTAACACAGCTTCCCGCCTGTCCGAATACCTCGGGTATCCTGAAGCTGACACGTTCGCATCTAGACCCTCAAGGAGCGCTTCGCTGAGCTCCTCCCGGAGAAGATCGAGGAGGTCAAGGCCCTGAGAAAGTATGCCAACACCCATTGTGTCCCTTATCTCAACACTGGGTAGCCCCGCTAACCTCGTCGTCGCAGAGAGCATGGCTCCAAGGTCATTGACAAGGTCACTCTCGACCAGGTCTACGGTGGTGCCCGTGGCATCAAGTGCCTCGTCTGGGAGGGTTCCGTCCTCGACTCTGAGGAGGGTATCCGTTTCCGCGGCAAGACCATCCCCGAGTGCCAGGAGCTTCTCCCCAAGGCCCCCGGCGGCAAGGAGCCCCTTCCTGAGGGTAAGTTTGACTGCTGCGATAGTGGCGCATTCGCATCCGACTGACGAGACATCTAGGTCTCTTCTGGCTTCTCCTGACCGGTGAGGTTCCCACCGAGCAGCAGGTCCGCGACCTGTCCGCCGAGTGGGCTGCCCGCTCCGACATCCCCAAGTTCGTCGAGGAGCTCATCGACCACTGCCCTACCGACCTCCACCCCATGGCTCAGTTCTCTCTTGCCGTCACCGCTCTCGAGCACACCTCTTCCTTCGCCAAGGCCTACGCCAAGGGTGTCAACAAGAAGGAGTACTGGGGGTACACCTTCGAGGACTCCATGGACCTGATTGCCAAGCTGCCCACCATTGCCGCTCGCATCTACCAGAACGTCTTCAAGGGCGGAAAGGTTGCTCCCGTCCAGAAGGACAAGGACTACTCCTTCAACTTCGCCAACCAGCTCGGCTTCGGCAACAACGCCGACTTCATTGAGCTGATGCGTCTGTACCTGACCATCCACACTGACCACGAGGGTGGCAACGTCTCTGCCCACACCACTCACCTGGTCGGCTCTGCCCTGTCCTCCCCCTTCCTGTCCGTCTCCGCTGGTCTCAACGGTCTGGCCGGTCCTCTCCACGGCCTGGCTAACCAGGAGGTCCTGAACTGGCTCACCGAGATGAAGAAGTCCGTCGGCGACGATCTCTCTGACAAGGCTATCACCGACTACCTCTGGTCCACCCTGAACGCCGGCCGTGTCGTCCCCGGTTACGGCCACGCCGTCCTCCGCAAGACTGACCCCCGTTACATGGCTCAGCGCAAGTTCGCCCAGGGTACGTATCTGCAGCCAACGTGAAGATTGCGATTGTGGAAAGCTAACAGCCCTACAGAGAAGATGCCCAACGACCCCATGTTCAACCTCGTCTCCCAGGTCTACAAGATCGCCCCCAAGGTTCTCACCGAGCACGGCAAGACCAAGAACCCCTTCCCCAACGTCGATGCCCACTCCGGTGTCCTCCTCCAGTACTACGGTCTCACCGAGGCCAACTACTACACCGTCCTCTTCGGTGTTTCCCGCGCCATCGGTGTCCTTCCCCAGCTCATCATCGACCGCGCTCTCGGCGCCCCCATCGAGCGCCCCAAGTCCTTCTCTACCGAGAAGTGGGCCGAGCTCGCCAAGAAGCTCTAAACATTTACGCTTAGAGGTAGAGGATACAAAAAATGGAGAAGACGCAGACGCGGGTAGAACCGCGTGTGCGGAAAAGGCAGCAGGATCGTATGCGCGATCAACAATAGACATGACAGGCAGCGTGTTGTTTCAGTCGGGGTGGATAGAAAGGCTATGGGCGATACCATCCACTGCGCTTGTACAATACCGAGACGTGCTGCTTTTACCGGGTTTTTCTGGGTTGTTTTAGTTACCTTGGCCGAGGCAGGCTGTCCGAATACACCAATGCTATTTTGAAGTTATACAACTGTCTGTTCTCGAAGCTTGGAGCACATCCAGAGCTGACGTGTGAAGATGGGATGATGTGAGTGGCAACAATTGCCGATCTACGGGATGGAGTTCGTGCGACAGTGACAAGACGACGCCGCGATGCATGAACGCGGCCGGACTGAGGAGCTATCCTAGCTTG